ACGATACCAAGGGGTCGGTACGGCGGCTGCTCTCGTTGCCGTCGTGCAGGGAGAGGGCCGTCTCGGCGGACTCGCCGCGGCAGGCTGCGCAGACGATCCCCAGTCTCGCCGACGACGAGGATGCGGACTCGGTGGCTCCCGAGGCTGCTGCGCGAGTCCCGGCGCTGATTTTCCCGGTGGACCGGCGCCTTGTGGACTTGCAGGACTACGTGCGCATGCTGAGCGACATCGCTCGCATGTACCGCCGCAAGGCCGACGCTTCCGGAGGTGACAGCTGCGATATGGCCCTGAAGCTGAGCATGATGTACAACTCCTACACCGCTGTGCGCCTGCAGGCGATGCTGCACCTCCTGCAGACGCACTTTGCCGAGCACAACGCGACGGGCGACGTGCAGGGCGAGGACATGTTCGGTCTTTACGGCAAGAGCTGCGCGCAATCCCCGTCATCGTTCTCTCGATTGAGGGCGAACGTGAATCGTAGAAGAGGGGTTCTGAACGGGAGCGTGAGCAACGACACTTCCTCGCAGGATGGACAGGACGACGCTCTCTGCGTGTTTTGGGAGTCGGTGCAGTTCCTGTGGATATCGAATGTGCTGTCGTACGTGACCAGGGTGCTGCGGCTGATACACTGCTCGCACAGCAAGGTGCGGCCGTCGGCCTTCAAAGACATGTTCGACCTGTCGCTCACGTGCTTGGAGGCTGTGCGAGCTCAGCTGGCGCGTGTTGCGGAGGCGAACTCGCACATCTACCTTGGCAACCTGATGGGTGGATTCATTGCGTTCTTGGGGAACAGCATCAGCGAGTGCTGCGCGCTTGACGAGGATCCGGCTACCTGGGCTCATCGGAGCACCCTAGCGGATCAGAGTTCTCGCACACCGAGGAAAGCGAAGACCACGTTCCTGCGTTTGGGCACGTCACGAAGCTTCTCGGATGACCAGCTGAACTTCTTTCGAGAGGCCAAGCAGTGGGATGCGCTGTCGCTTCCTCTCCTAGACGTGCAGCTGTTTGCTTCAGTGAAGTTGATGATGCAGCGAGACAGTTACAGTAAGCGCTCAATCAAACTGATGACGCCAATGGAGAGGAGTTTTGGGTGGTACATGGGGGTGGACGTTAGCGGAGGGTTTGAACGGCGTGCTGGCACCCCTGGCTGCAGCGCGTACCTCTTGAAGATGTGCGGTGTGCCTGACGATGCCACGATGCGGGACTGGCGTCTCTTCGCTGCTGTTGGACTGGAGGAAATGAGCATTGGACTGTTTCGCATGGCCTCGATGACCGGGTTTGTTTTGCACGCACGAGGCAAGACGAGTCAGTCGCAGGAGCTCTGCAACGCCACGGTTCAATTTGCGTTGAACATGTACGGGTGCCGTACGCCCATCTCGGATCTCGTTGAAGCGCAGTTTCAGCAGGTCACAAGCGAAGCTTCGGTGTAAGGAAAACTGCAGTTTTTTCTTTTCTTGTCTCGCATGGAGGCGCTTGTCACCTCGCTGGTTTTTCCTTTCCTTTTTTGCGTTAACTCCAGTAATTTGTTTTCTTTCACTTCTCGGCCTGGACATTTAAATGATTTTGCAGTTCTCTAAAGGGTACATCCGATATTTATTTTATCTACGAAGCTTGTAATCACTATTGGTTTTTGTTTTCTCCATTCGTGTTCATTGAGTTCTTTCGTGTACCAGTTCAAAAGTACTAACACAGATCCACTGCTGTTTAATAGAGCGGTCTTGGTCATCCTCATCAACTTCAGCGTTAAACTGAAGCTTGCGGATGAAAAGCGTGTGTCTTGTATCCATGATACTATTGCATTTATTTTAAGTATCCTTAACTGCATCAAAACTCCAAAGTACCTACGTTGTGCGAGGCGTCATTTATTATTATTATTATTATTATTATTACTATTATTAGTATTGACCTATACAAAGCTCCCAGAGACACCTTCCCCTTCGAGTAGTTTATTTATAGACACACGGACCCAGTTTCTGGATCCAACAAAACACTACTCATTTTGCTGCTGTGAGCCGGTCGAATTAACTTGTATGGAAACCTTTTTCTTCGTTTATTCTTCATTTTGTAAACCCTGTCTTAATTTTAATGCTTTCAATTGTTTTTCTTTTTTTTACTTTTTTCGGCCATGTAAAAACCACGACCTCAGCCTTTGTTTGAGGTTTTATATCTCAGGAAAATGTGCCCACGAGGCTTCAGAACCCTACTCAATACCTTCTCTGTAGCACCGTGCCACTCGTACTTCTCTTGCGAGAGGAAGGTCGCTACGCCACCTTGACGGCTGCGTTCCCCGAACGGTGAGCGTTGGCTAGACGAGTCGCTGCTTAACGACGGCGCTGCGATGCGACCAGAACCAGGCGCATTTGTTTGGTGCTCTTCTCTTGCTGTGCGACCGTGGTGCTGATGTGTGCTCCCGAGCCTGCTGCTCCTCGCCGTCTGCGCTGCCTGCCCTTCTCCGCCACCTGCCGCTCCTCCTCTCACGCCTTCTTCTTCCTCTCTCTTTTTGTTCTGCCGCCGCCGGATGACGTCGCGGCGCGTACGACGCCAGCAGCTGGCCCATTCCCCTAACACAGTCCCCAAAGCCGACCCGCAGCTCTCCCTCTCTCCCCCGAGACACACTGCCCTTTTGCCGCCACCGCGAGCCCCGTCGCCGCCGATGCAGCCCAAGATGAACGGCACGATGGTGGGTGTGGAGCGCGACCGCGAGCGGGCGTACGTGCAGCACCGGGAGCGCGTGGCCAGCCAGCGCCGCCGCATCGACAACGACACGCCGGCGAGCTGCGCCTACGCACGCAAGCCCGGCGCTGTGCGCACGAACCCTGCCCGCGCCGCGCAGATCGACCGCGACAACGCGAAGCTTGTGGAGAAGATGGTGCACATAATGAACACGAAGGGCGGCGTGGACACGAGTGAGCCGTGGCGTGACCACAACCGTGCGGTGAACTCGCAGCGCACGCGGCAGCAGCGGCAGGCTGTTGTTGCGGAGGAGAACGCGAGGATGCTGGAGCGACTGGAGAGGGCGGCGCCGACGTACCGCGCGGACAAGTTTGCGGCCGATCGTCGCCGCAACGAGGAGTTCGCTGCGCGTGCGAGCCGGTACCCGTACCGTCCGATGGACAAGGCGGGCTCCTAGCGGGCGGGCGGTGCGCGCTGTGCCTCTGCGCGGAGAGCCGGTGGTGCCGACGCTGCGTGTTGTCGCTGCCCGCCTGCAGCTGTTGGCGCGTCGTGCTGTGCCCTCCCCGTTGCGCGCTTGGCTCCGAGGGCCGCCTGCTGTGGCTGCGCTGCCGAAGTGCCGCTTCCCGGCATCGCTGTGGTGTGTGCGTGATGTACAGTATGGATATCCGTTTGTGTGAGTTGGCGCCGCCTGACTGCGTCTGTGCTGATTTCTCCCGTTGTGCGTCGACCCCCTTTCCCCGGCTGCATGCGCGACGTGCACGGCCGCCGGCGACGGAGATGATGTCTCGACCGTGCCTCCTCACGCGTCTCCGCCGGGCGCGCCTCTCTTTCTCTCTCCCTCTCTGGCGGCGCTGGGGTGCGCTGCTCGGTGCCGCCCCACGCGCCGTCCATCGCTGCTGCACCGGTGCGTGGGCCGTGGTCGGCGCGGCGTGTGTGCCTGCGAGCGCCGCCCCTCTGTGCGATGAAGCTGCTCGCCCCCTCTCCTTGTGTGCTCCACCACTGCACTTCAACGCCGCTCTGCTCCTCCTCCCTTTGCCCTCCTCTGCTCGTGAGCCGTGAAGCGCCGCTGCTGCGCACGTGCTGAGCGTCCTTTCCTTTGCGCTCGCTGGCTCTCGGTGTCCCACGCTGCTTCTCCACTCCGTCTTACTTCTCCCCTCTGCAGGCGCTCCTCCTGGCTGCTGTGTTTTTCCGCGGTCCGCGCTCCGCCTGCGTTTCACAGCCGTTCCGCTCCTTCCTCGGTGCTCCCCGCGTACCCCGTTTCCGTCCGCCTCTCCCTCTCTCCGCTGCCGCGCCTGCGCCTTCCGAATGGGTTTTGCCGCCTGCTCTCCTGCACCGCCCCCCGCTCCCCGTGCCGGGAACAGGAGCGGAAGGGGCGTGTGCGTGAGCGGCGAGCTGCGGGACTGCTGCCTTCTGGTTGCTGCTCTGCGTTCCCGGCGCGCGTGGTGCTGTTGGTGTAGAGAGAGCGTTGTGCACTTGCCTAGCGGTGGGACGCGGTAGTGGTGGCCCTCCTCTGCTCTGCTCCCCCCCCCCTTCTCCGCTGCGGTGGCCGCCTTAAAGCTGTGTGCTGCGGCCTCACGCGTAAGTGCTTGTTTTCTCTCTTTTCGAAGCTGCCCTGTGCCGCCGCGGGTTGGTGCTCGTTGTGGATGCTGTGCGACGCGGCGGCCCGCGGTGATGTCTGGTACTGCCGCTTCCGAGCCGCGTTGCTGCTGTGCGACGGAGGAGCGCGTTGCTCGGGTGCGCACACACGACGCGTCTCCCTGCCTGTCCACGCCCCCCAGCGAAAGACATGCGGGCCGTCTTTGTTTTTCTTCTTGGTGCCTGTGCACTCCACGCTGGGCGGGAGCGGCGTCCCTCTGCTCCGTGTACTGCGCCGCCCGCTGCAGCTGGTGCCGGTGCTGTACGAGCTGTGCCCCAACGCATGAATTGAGCGCTGCTGCACCGATGCGGTGTCGCGCCGAATTCGTGACGGCGTGCTGTGCGTGTCGTGTTGCGTGGTGCTGTGCTGAGGCGAGCCGCTTTGTAGGCGGACGCTGGCGGACCTCTTTCCCTTGAAGCGGCCGACGCCCGCCGCGGCGCAACCTGCGCTGGTTGTCTCGCGATGACGGAATGTGTCCCGACGGCTGCTCACTTTCCTCTCTCTCTCCCCTGGTGTCTGCCCTCTCCTCCCCGCTCCCCATCCACCGACGCTCCACCGACTGCGCAGTGGTCCGCCTTAACCAAACGAAGACACAGCTTCACCGCTTTCCTCTGCGAGCGAGTGTGCGTACTCCGTCACCCCGACCCGCCTGTTGAGCTCAGCACCCGCTTTCTTCCCTGCCCTCGCCACGATGGGTGCCAAGCAAACCAAGATCGAGAACGTTGGCGACAACCACCCTGCGCGCTTCTACGACGGCTGCGCGAAGGTGCAGGAGGGCTGCTACACGGTGGCCGAGATCTACTTCAACCAGGCCATCCGAAACCACCCCGGCCACGCGTTCTGGACGGACGTGATGGAGGTGACGGTGCCGAAGGGCGACCGGGGCAGCGATGCGGAGGACCCCTTCGACCACGGCGGCGAGCGGCGCGACGTCGATGGTGCATTCGTTGCCGCGCCACGGAATTCAACCTCCTCGCCCCCGCTGGGCCTCTCCCTGCACGACGGCAACGAGAGCAGCCGCCGTACCGACGGCGTCTCGGCGGACTCGCCGCGGCAGGCTGCGCAGACGATCCCCAGTCTCGCCGACGACGAGGATGCGGACTCGGTGGCTGCCGAGGCTGCTGCGCGAGTCCCGGCGCTGATTTTCCCGGTGGACCGGCGCCTTGTGGACTTGCAGGACTACGTGCGCATGCTGAGCGACATCGCTCGCATATACCGCCGTAAGGTCGATGCTTCCGGAGGTGACAGCTGCGATATGGCCCTGAAGCTGAGCATGATGTACAACTCCTACACCGCTGTGCGCCTGCAGGCGATGCTGCACCTCCTGCAGACGCACTTTGCCGAGCACAACGCGACGGGCGACGTGCAGGGCGAGGACATGTTCGGTCTTTACGGGAGGATCGCCGCACAGCCCCAATCGTCGTTTTGCCGGTCGAAGGCGAACTCCAGCATCAACCGAAGTGCAATGAACGGGAGCCTGAGCAACTACACGACTGGATCCGTTGGACAGGACGACGCTCTCTGCGTGTTTTGGGAGTCGGTGCAGTTCCTGTGGATGTCGAATGTGCTGTCGTGCCTTACGTCGACGCTTCGGATGGTGCGCTCGTCCGGCAGGAACGTGCCGCTTGACACCCTCAGGACGATGTTCGACTTAGCGTACCAGTGCTTAGAGGCTGTGCGAGCTCAGCTGGCGCCTGTTGCGGAGGCGAACTCGCACATCTACCTTGGCAACCTGATGGGTGGATTCATTGCGTTCTTGGGGAACAGCATCAAGGAATGTGCTGCGGCTGACGCCGGTCCGGCCGCCTCGGCTGCTCAAAACGCCGCCGTGCATCCAAAGTCGCGCGCACCCCGAGAAGGGAAGGCGGCGTATCTCCGTCTGGGCTCGTCGCCGAGCTTCGCGGACGATCAAGCGAACTTCTTCCGCCAGGCCGAGTACTTCACGGCGCTGTCTGTCCCGCTTCTTGACTTGTCAAGGTTTGTCTCAGCCGAAATGGGCATTCAGTGTGACCGTCGCGGTAGACGTTCAATCAAACTGATGACGCCCATGGAGCGGAGCTTCCCCTGGTACTTGGGAGTCGACGCTAGCCGCCACTTTGAACCGGGCACTGCCTTCCCTGGCTGCAGCGCGTACCTCTTGAAGATGTGCGGTGTGCCTGACGATGCCACGATGCGGGACTGGCATCTGTTCACTGCCGCCGGACTGGAGGAGATGAGCATTGGACTGTTTCGCATGGCGGTGATCACTGGCGCCCTTCTGCACGCACGAGGCAAGACGAAAGAGTGGCAGGAGCTCCGCACCACCTCCGTTCAATTTGCGTTGAACATGTACGGGTGCCGCACATCTATTTCTGATCTCTTGGACGCACAGTTTCAGCAGATGACAGATGAGGCGTCTGTGTAAGGCCATGGAATGGCTCTTTGTTTGATAACTGCCTTCTGACTAATCGTTTTCTCTGGTTCTATTTTTTTTGTATATTAATTCTTCCGCTACGCTGAGGCATTGCATGTTAGTGATTCTTGTCTCCAACGGATGCGTAGTAAAGCGATGCGTGTGACGCAGTTTTTAGCTCGCTTTGTAATCTTTTAACCCCGTGTATTGTTTTTCTTTTAATTACTAGCGGAGATGGAGTTTGAGGCAGCCTTGTTAGGTAGAGTGACTTGAGCAGCTTTTTCTGCTTGAACTGTCTCGTAAAACCCGCTGGACCGGAAGCTCGATGCTTTATTCCCGTTGTATGTAAAATCGCTTTTTCCATCAAAATTTCCTGAGCTAGCGTCCGTGATAATTTGTTCTCTTCTTATTTTGGATTTTCCTCGAGCTGCGACATCCACAGTGGCCATTTCCTCTGTTCTGCGCTTTGTATTTCTTGTTCTCTTTTGCTTGTTTATATCCGATGTAACATGAGGAGACCCTTGTTGTGGAGGCACCCGCCAAGCATGCTGCTTTCTCGTGTCTATGCTGGTCGAGTAAGCCCGTGTTTCGAATCGTTTGTTTTATTCTTCTGTCCAGAGGTGTCTTCTTTTTGGTTAACTTATTATTATTGTTATTTCATTTCCTCCTTTACCCACTTGTAGCTTATCATAGAGAGTCAAAGAGCTAGAGCCTCTTCTTTTCATTTTCATTTGCTGGTTTGTTTTATATCTCAGGTCAATGTGCCCACGAGGCTTCAGAACCCTACTCGATACTTTCTCTGTAGCACCGTGCCACTCGTACTTCTCTTGCGAGAGGAAGGTCGCTACGCCACCTTGACGGCTGCGTTCCCCGAACGGTGAGCGTTGGCTAGACGAGTCGCTGCTTAACGACGGCGCTGCGATGCGACCAGAACCAGGCGCATTTGTTTGGTGCTCTTCTCTTGCTGTGCGACCGTGGTGCTGATGTGTGCTCCCGAGCCTGCTGCTCCTCGCCGTCTGCGCTGCCTGCCCTTCTCCGCCACCTGCCGCTCCTCCTCTCACGCCTTCTTCTTCCTCTCTCTTTTTGTTCTGCCGCCGCCGGATGACGTCGCGGCGCGTACGACGCCAGCAGCTGGCCCATTCCCCTAACACAGTCCCCAAAGCCGACCCGCAGCTCTCCCTCTCTCCCCCGAGACACACTGCCCTTTTGCCGCCACCGCGAGCCCCGTCGCCGCCGATGCAGCCCAAGATGAACGGCACGATGGTGGGTGTGGAGCGCGACCGCGAGCGGGCGTACGTGCAGCACCGGGAGCGCGTGGCCAGCCAGCGCCGCCGCATCGACAACGACACGCCGGCGAGCTGCGCCTACGCACGCAAGCCCGGCGCTGTGCGCACGAACCCTGCCCGCGCCGCGCAGATCGACCGCGACAACGCGAAGCTTGTGGAGAAGATGGTGCACATAATGAACACGAAGGGCGGCGTGGACACGAGTGAGCCGTGGCGTGACCACAACCGTGCGGTGAACTCGCAGCGCACGCGGCAGCAGCGGCAGGCTGTTGTTGCGGAGGAGAACGCGAGGATGCTGGAGCGACTGGAGAGGGCGGCGCCGACGTACCGCGCGGACAAGTTTGCGGCCGATCGTCGCCGCAACGAGGAGTTCGCTGCGCGTGCGAGCCGGTACCCGTACCGTCCGATGGACAAGGCGGGCTCCTAGCGGGCGGGCGGTGCGCGCTGTGCCTCTGCGCGGAGAGCCGGTGGTGCCGACGCTGCGTGTTGTCGCTGCCCGCCTGCAGCTGTTGGCGCGTCGTGCTGTGCCCTCCCCGTTGCGCGCTTGGCTCCGAGGGCCGCCTGCTGTGGCTGCGCTGCCGAAGTGCCGCTTCCCGGCATCGCTGTGGTGTGTGCGTGATGTACAGTATGGATATCCGTTTGTGTGAGTTGGCGCCGCCTGACTGCGTCTGTGCTGATTTCTCCCGTTGTGCGTCGACCCCCTTTCCCCGGCTGCATGCGCGACGTGCACGGCCGCCGGCGACGGAGATGATGTCTCGACCGTGCCTCCTCACGCGTCTCCGCCGGGCGCGCCTCTCTTTCTCTCTCCCTCTCTGGCGGCGCTGGGGTGCGCTGCTCGGTGCCGCCCCACGCGCCGTCCATCGCTGCTGCACCGGTGCGTGGGCCGTGGTCGGCGCGGCGTGTGTGCCTGCGAGCGCCGCCCCTCTGTGCGATGAAGCTGCTCGCCCCCTCTCCTTGTGTGCTCCACCACTGCACTTCAACGCCGCTCTGCTCCTCCTCCCTTTGCCCTCCTCTGCTCGTGAGCCGTGAAGCGCCGCTGCTGCGCACGTGCTGAGCGTCCTTTCCTTTGCGCTCGCTGGCTCTCGGTGTCCCACGCTGCTTCTCCACTCCGTCTTACTTCTCCCCTCTGCAGGCGCTCCTCCTGGCTGCTGTGTTTTTCCGCGGTCCGCGCTCCGCCTGCGTTTCACAGCCGTTCCGCTCCTTCCTCGGTGCTCCCCGCGTACCCCGTTTCCGTCCGCCTCTCCCTCTCTCCGCTGCCGCGCCTGCGCCTTCCGAATGGGTTTTGCCGCCTGCTCTCCTGCACCGCCCCCCGCTCCCCACTGCCAGCAACACGAGCGGAAGGTGCGCGTGCGTGAGCGGCGAGTGCGGGGACTGCGACGTGCGTGGTGTGTTTGGTGCGGACAGCATCGACGGCGACTCACCCCTCCGCAAGCCCCCCTGTCGCCCCGAGAGGCGTTGTGCGCCGTTGCTGTGTGCGACGATGCTGTCTCAAGGGACGGTACGGAGCGTGCGGTGGGGCGGTCCCCGGCGCGGAGCGGCTTTGGGGTGTTTGCCCAGCGGCTGCTCCCCTACGGCGGCCTCGTGTCGAACTGCTTCAGCCTGGGCTCCGTGGCGCTTGGCGGCGGCATCATCTCCATGCCCTCCTCCTTCGCCATGTCCGGCATCGTAATGTCCATCATCTACCTGGTGGTGATCACGGCCGTGACTGTGTACTCGATGACGCTGATGGGCTACGCGATGGAGAAGACGGGCGTGTACACCTACGAGGAACTGGCTCATGTGCTGTTTGGCCGCGGCTGGGACTACTTCGCGGGCTTTGTGCTGTGGCTGTCGTGCTTCGGCACTGCAGTGGCGTACATCAGCGCAGTGAGCAGTCTGATCGATCCCATTCTGCGGAAGTCCCCCGGCACACCGGCGTATCTGTTGACGACGAGCGGCAACCGCCTCGTGACGTCGCTGGTGTGGCTGGTGCTGATGATGCCCGTGATCATCCCCAAGCACGTGAACAGCATCCGCTACGTCTCCGCGTTTGGCGTGGTGATGGTGCTGTACTTCGTGGTCACGATTGTGGTGCACTCCAGCACGAACGGCATGAAGGATGGCATGCGCGGCGACATGCAGTGCTTCACCGTCGGCAACAAGGCCATCTACGGCCTGTCCATCTTCATCTTTGCGTATCTGTGTCAAGTGGTGGCCGGCAATGTGTACCATGAGCAGAGGCCGCGTCCCTCGGTGAAGCAACTGACGGTGGCGAGCGCCATCGCGATGACGGTGTGCATGATGTTCTACATCCTTGCCGGTGTCTTCGGCTACTTCGACTTCGCGGACGACACGCAGGACTCGATCCTGTTCAACTTCGACCCGGTGCACCAGCCCTACATGATGGTGGCGTACATCGGCATGCTGGTGAAGCTGTGCGCTGCGTACGCCATGAACATGGTGCCGTGCCGCAACTTCATCTACCACTGCCTGAGCTGGAACATTGAGACACTCCCCTACTGGAAGCACATCCTCGTGGTGCTGGCGATGTCCGTGGTGATCCTGATCTGCGGACTGTTCATTCCGAGCATCAACACTGCCCTCGGGCTTGTGGGTTCGCTGTGTGGCGGCTTCATTGGGTTTCTGTTCCCTGCGTACTACTGGATGTACTGCGGTGACTGGAGCATCAAGTCTGTGGGCATCTGGCACTGGCTGGCCACGTACTTCCTGGTCGTGTGCGGCGTGATTGCGATTGTGTTCGGCGCGATTGCGACGGTGTACTTCAGCTTTGTGGTCTAACGGAAGGGAGGAGATGCGGTGGCGGTGTTCATAGGCTGACGTTTAACTTGCTTATGTGTGTGCTTCGGTTTTCGTTCCGTGAGGGCGAATGGCGCGATGACTGGCTCGAAAGTGAGATCCGCCAATCAGTGGATGAACGATAGATAGAGAGGACGCCAATTGTCTTGCACGCGGCTCGCTGGTTTTCTCATGGTCACGTTCTGCTCTGCGCCTGCGTTTTGTGGTTTTTGTGGGTAAAGATGCTGTGATTGGTTCACAACTATGTTGTGTCGTCTAGGCAATGTGACTCTCACCACACACGGGCGCTTTGTATCTGTGCGGTTGCCCTATAGCGCAACTGGACTTGGTGGAGCTGCGACTGCGGTTGCAATACAAATGTTTTTTTCTACTATCGTTTTTGATCCCCTCGTTTCGTTCCTGTTTTTCTTTTAAATTGAAGTTGTCCGTCGTCGCGGTTTGTTTTTGAATCCAGAGAAATGTTTTCTAGTCGGTTGTTGTTTACCAAAAGAGGCTGCCTTTTTCTCTTCTGCGCGCCTCCGTTTGATGTGCGTACATCTTCTTTTGTGTTTTTATTTTCTTTCTCTAACAATGACTCTGATGGTTTCAATGGCGCTCTTTTCTCCTGAAGGAGTTCACCTCCGGGCTTTCGCAAGTAGCACAATATATAAACATCGGGGAAATGTATTTTTCAGAGTTCTCTAGTTCTAGTGTTTTTGACCATTTGCCGCTACTGTTACGAGGACACGTGGTGAGACCGAGGATGGAGACGAGACGCGACAATTTGTTTAACTCTTCGATCCGGTTTACCTTCTTTCCTGTTTTTCCTGTTTCTGTTGTTTGTTTTGTCGGTTTCCGCTTCCTCGGTTTCCTGCATCGTCTCCTGTCTTTACTGCGCACAGCGCAGAGACGGTCTTCTGCTTTATGAGCTGCCGTCATCAACTTTGTTTGCTCCGTTTCTTCTTCTTTGTATCTGGTTCTCTCTCTCTCTCTCTGCGCGCGACGCAAACATCCGTACGTTCATTTCTTTCTCCCCTGTGGCTCACCTCCATCAGAGTGTTTTCTTGCTTTCTCTTTCGCTCGTCATCTTCCGCATGAAGCAGCGAAGATGTGGCACGTATGCACGTAGGTGACTCCTCTCGCAGGAGGCGCTATGATGGCCCTTCTTTGTCCTTTTCATTGTCAGCGCGATCGTCATCTCATTTGCTGCTTTGGAGTAGCTTCAGCCGTTGACGAACACACACACACACACACACACACGCAAACACACACGTTTGCTGTGTTTATTTTGGTGTGGCGAGTTTGCTTTGTTTTTAATCGTTGATAGCCGGCTGGAGTTTTTTTTTGGTGATTTCGTGTGCACGCGTACGTGTGTGTGGCGGCGGTGCTCCGCTGTGGATTAGTTGCTCTCTCGCTTAACAACACCAACGAGTTTGCGCGTTTTCACGGGTGTATCCTTTTTGTTTTTCGTCTTTGCGGGCAGACCGCATTTCATACTCATCTCCGCCCCGATATATACCTTATGTGCCGTTTGAGAAGGTAGAAGACCAACAATAACTCTTACCCGCAAGGCGTGTGAGCCTTTTCTTTTATTTGTTTTGTATGCTGCTTTCGTGGAACATCTACTGCGGCGGCTCTGCACGTTCGTGTCAAGTCACGATGATAGAAAGCTGGATGCCGCCTTTTCATTATTTGCCGGCGCGTACCTCTGATAGATGACGATGAGGGCACGGGGCCGCCTTGTAGGAGTGTAGAGCGAGCGAGCGAGAGAGAGCTCCAGGCATCTGCGGTTCGGGTGCGATACGCTTCGCTACCCACACACGTGACTCGATCTTTCGTTGTCCCCCGTAAAGCGCACCTCAATCGCGGCTGAAGTGAACATGGTGAGCCACTACGCTGCGGTCTCGGCCTCGTGCGGCCACTGTTCACTCCCCCTTTCTTGCAATGCCTTCACCGGTAGGGACCCTCCTCCGTCGCCTACGCTTATTATCCTCTCCGTACATGGCTTTTTTTAAATGTTATTTTTTTACCTTATCGCACTCCTTAACCACTCCAACGGCAGATGACCCCCTCTGTACTTCTACTTTCCTTTCGCGCTACCAACGATGCTGTGATTCGACAGCAAAAAGAGAAACATCTCATTTTCGAGTATGCAGCTTTGTGCTGCACCACTCACGCCGCGCCGCACCAGGACAACTCCCGGGCGGTCCTCTCTTCAGGGTTTCGCCGCTCGGCACGATAGGCGGCTTGATCGCAGTGAGGAGAGCGGTTTGCAACTCTTTCGGTATCTCTTGCAGCTCTCTGTAGTGTGTTCATTGGCGGTGACAGCGGTGCACCGGGTTCTCTTTGGACCCAACGCGGAGACAAAGGGTGCGCTTTACACCTCCACCTCTGCACTCCCCTAATGCACACCTCCTCCCTTCCCCCTCCCCCGCTGTGCTCTGCTATTTCATCTTTTGCTCTCTGGTGCCTATACCCCAGTGAATAATTTAAGTTTAAGGTGCCCTACACCACTTCCGCCTCCTTGTCTCAGCTGAGGTTTCTCCACCGCACGTGCAGCACGTATCGCCACCGCGCTTTCTTTCCCCCCTTCGAGACTCCTACCCGGCACACGACACGATGCGTGGCAAAGGCGAACCGATCCACCACGATGAGCTCTCCGGCACACTGCTCGACCACCTCGACAGGGAGTCGCCAACGTCGCCGGAGGTGCAGCTTGACCGGAAGCGTGATCCCCACATCGACGCCAACGTTGCGAGTAATTTGATGTATGATGAAGCGGGCAACGCAGCGGAGGAGCGTCCCCGGCGGACGAAAAACGTGTTCAAGCGCTTCTCGGAGTGGCTGATTCCATACGGCGGCCTCGTGTCGAACTGCTTCAGCCTGGGCTCCGTGACGCTTGGCGGCGGCATCATCTCCATGCCCTCCTCCTTCGCCATGTCCGGCATCGTAATGTCCATCATCTACCTGGTGGTGATCACGGCCGTGACTGTGTACTCGATGACGCTGATGGGCTACGCGATGGAGAAGACGGGCGTGTACACCTACGAGGAACTGGCTCATGTGCTGTTTGGCCGCGGCTGGGACTACTTCGCGGGCTTTGTGCTGTGGCTGTCGTGCTTCGGCACTGCAGTGGCGTACATCAGCGCAGTGAGCAGTCTGATCGATCCCATTCTGCGGAAGTCCCCCGGCACACCGGCGTATCTGTTGACGACGAGCGGCAACCGCCTCGTGACGTCGCTGGTGTGGCTGGTGCTGATGATGCCCGTGATCATCCCCAAGCACGTGAACAGCATCCGCTACGTCTCCGCGTTTGGCGTGGTGATGGTGCTGTACTTCGTGGTCACGATTGTGGTGCACTCCAGCACGAACGGCATGAAGGATGGCATGCGCGGCGACATGCAGTGCTTCACCGTCGGCAACAAGGCCATCTACGGCCTGTCCATCTTCATCTTTGCGTATCTGTGTCAAGTGGTGGCCGGCAATGTGTACCATGAGCAGAGGCCGCGTCCCTCGGTGAAGCAACTGACGGTGGCGAGCGCCATCGCGATGACGGTGTGCATGATGTTCTACATCCTTGCCGGTGTCTTCGGCTACTTCGACTTCGCGGACGACACGCAGGACTCGATCCTGTTCAACTTCGACCCGGTGCACCAGCCCTACATGATGGTGGCGTACATCGGCATGCTGGTGAAGCTGTGCGCTGCGTACGCCATGAACATGGTGCCGTGCCGCAACTTCATCTACCACTGCCTGAGCTGGAACATTGAGACACTCCCCTACTGGAAGCACATCCTCGTGGTGCTGGCGATGTCCGTGGTGATCCTGATCTGCGGACTGTTCATTCCGAGCATCAACACTGCCCTCGGGCTTGTGGGTTCGCTGTGTGGCGGCTTCATTGGGTTTCTGTTCCCTGCGTACTACTGGATGTACTGCGGTGACTGGAGCATCAAGTCTGTGGGCATCTGGCACTGGCTGGCCACGTACTTCCTGGTCGTGTGCGGCGTGATTGCGATTGTGTTGGCACGATTGCGACGGTGTACTTCAGCTTTGTGGTATAGTTCATTGTGCAACGAGAGTGCCACCGTAGGCTGTTCTTTCCCTCTTTTGCAATGACTTTTCCATTTTTGGTTTCGAGGGTGTATCTGGTGTCCTTATCAATGACATCGTGTTGTGCTCTTCGCTTCTTTTTGTGTGTATGTGCGGGCGCTACTGGTATAGTGGGCCGTGCTACCGTGTATTTGGTGCGTGCTACGCTTATAGTGTTCGTTGACGGCGGTGGCACAAACGCATCCGCTGCCTCCCTCGATGTTTTCTTTACCGTGAATTGCGTATTTCTCTTCTTCGTTCACCTCTCGCGGCATGGAAAGTGCTTTACTGGAACGTTCTCTTTTGATTTGTTTCTCTCTTTTCTTTTAGATTGCGCTGATAGCGTTTCCTTTTTTGCTACCGGCTGAACGCTCTTCCCGCTTCGTTAGGTGTCGTCGCTTCGTCTGGATCCATCACAAGTAGTTGGGTCCTGGACAAGAGAAATCCGCACCATCGTTTATGTGGCTTTTATAGATTATAGCCGTACATTCTGTTTTTCGCCGATTCGTGATCTCTATTACAGACGGCATGCTAGCGATGCATTCCTTTAAACTCTTTTTTTCTCCTTCTCTCTCAGTCCCGTTACTTCTCCGTTCTGTTGTAATTCACCACTTTTTTTTACCTTTTTCTAATCACTACCTTGAAGTTACGGGGTATTTAAGCACGCGCTAACCGCTGCCCTTTCCTGTCACAACCGCAGAGTGATTCGGTGCAAACTGTGCTTGAACGTGGTCCTCGTATTATTTTTTGAACGACGAGCCAGTGCTGTCCGCTTTTGAAAATACAACCCTCCCGGTCTGCACGTTGGAAGCTTTTTGTGTGTGTGTGGTATCAGCTCTTATTTCTGCTTTTACTCCTCTGTTTCTTTTCCTTCCCGCAACTGCCAAGTATTATGCCTCCTGTGAAAGAGCTGC